TTGGAGTTCATGTGCATTTTTTTCTTTTTCTTTTTTAGTTAGTATTTAATTATGTTCAAAACCTTTTTTTTTTTTAATTGTTGAAAGTATTACAGATTTCCCCTTTCCCCCCCCCATTGATCCCCTCCACCTGGCATCCACCTCCCGTCCCCGGACTTATCCACACTATTGTCTGTGTCCATAGGTCATGTGTATATGCCTCTAAGTTCTTGATCTCTCCCACCCTTACCCCCACCTTCCCTCTGAAATTCACCCAACTGCTCCATGCTTCTATATCTCTGTATCTATTTTGTTCATCAGTTTACTTTGTTAACTAGATTCCACATATAAGTGAGATCATATGATACTTATCTTTCTCTGACTGGCCTATTTTACTTAGCATAATACTTCCTAGTTCCCTCCATGCTGTCCCAAAGGATAAAAGATCCTTCTTTTTCATAGCTGCATAGTATTCCATGGTGTAAATGTCCCACAGCCTTTTTTATCCACTCACCTACTGATGGGCACTTGGGTTGTTTCCAGATCTTAGCTATTGTAAATTGTGCTGCTATGAACATATGCATTTTAAAGAGGTGGAAACTGAGGAGGCTCAGGTTAAGTCACTTGCCAGAGGTCACAGCAGGAACTTAGACGTGAGTGACTACAGCATTCCCGTTCTAATTGACATCGTGCCCCCTCAGGTTTCAAGTGCCCATGTTAGAATTTCATATGAAGAACCAATTAATATGTGAGACTTGTAAGACACAGGAATTCTGCTTTTCTTCCTGAGTTCTAGCAAAGAGAAAGCCAAGTAGTTTTGGTTTTGAGGCATTTCTTCGTATCCTGACTTAAAGATATTTCACAAAGTTTTTGATCAGAAGAATTCATGAATGATTCCAAAAAAAGTTAGCTATATTACATTCAATTGTAAGGTGGATTAATAACTAACAAACCTTTCCCGCACTTACTCTTTTGAGGGAGCTGTTTGAAAACCAAAATTTTATGTATTTTGTCTAAGCACATTTAATTATGTTGTCATTTATAAATGCAAGTCTGTTTTAATGGTTTTACTGTTTGGAAACTTCAGTTCTGTTTTACATGTGTTTTTAGGTCTTGTACTTTTTAATAGTAGTTATAAATTCTTAATATTTCATTTAAAGTAATTTTATCTGTAACTACAGCGGTATATAAATTTCAGAGATACACATTTATTTTAACTTCTTTTTGAACAATTAGGCAACCATAATACAGCATAATTATGTCCCATCTGTACTAACATATCTGAATCATGTTCACTGCTGTATGTTGGCACCTGTGTCAAAGCGCATATACTTAAATGGTGTACATTCTTTTTTTGTTTGTTTTTTATTGTGGTAAATGCACAGAAGAGAATTTACCATTTTCAGGTATATGGTTTATTGTCATTAAGTACATTCACATTGTTGTGCATCCATCTCCACTATCCATCTCCGGAACGGTTCATCATCCCAAACCGAAACTCGTTAGCCAGTAACTCCCTATTTCCCTTCCCCCCAGCCCTTGGTAAACACTATTCTACTTTCTGTATGCATTTGACTATTCTAGGTACCTCATATGAGTGGAAGCATACCACATTTATCCTTCGTGGTTGGCTTATTTCACTTAGCATAATGTCTTCAGGGTTTATTATGAATATCATTTTGAAGTTAGAGGAGACCTGTTTCGTCCTTGTTGAGTTAGTAACTCATTCTATAGAATGTTGTGTATTCTTAAATTTATAGCTATTGTATTTTTATTTATTTTAAGAAATCCTTTGAAGATGCACTGTGTGAGTATTCACCAAACAACAGCTCTATGAATGACCCTGTGCCAGTTGTTAAAGGGGAAGCAAAACCTGTTGGCCAGGTCTTGGTCCTCAAGGAGCCCATGGTCTGTGCTAGCAGGGACCAGAAGTCTCTGGCAGGGACACTTGAGACCACAGTTGGCTATGAGGAAGGTAGTTTTTGAACTGAATGCCGGAGGAAAACAATTTTTTTTTAAACAGAAATAGTCCATGTTGCTTTAGAGAAGATTATGGTCTAAGGCTTCTGGAATAAAAAGAATGACTAGTATTCATAGTTGCCTGTACCATAAAGTTAAAATTAAATAGAGCTTGCCCTGGCAAGTGTGGCTCAGGTGGTTGGGGGTGGTTCCATGCACTGAAAGGTTGCCACTTCGATTCCTGGTCAGGGGTACGTACAGGAGGCACCCGATTGATGTTTGTTTTTTTTTTTCTTTCTTTCTCTCTCCCTCTCCTTTCCTCTCTCTCTAAAATCAATAAAAACATATTAAAAAGGATAAATGGAGTTTTTAGAGCAGTTAGGTTTATTTTAAACTTAAAAGATCAGCACAGAAGGCATTAGGGCTGGCTCCTTTCTCTGATGTTTTAAAGTTTATTCTGACCAGTTAGCCTTTCTAGGGAACTTGACTTTACACACATTGCTAGTTGGTCTAGCCTTTATAATCTGGCCATTTGTTTCATCTGCAAGTCTTTTTTCTTATTAATCCCCTTGCTTACTCTTGCTCTAAGTCGTAACTCTTCTACTTCCAGAGTATCTTTGGATACTGTCTTTTTTGTTCTGACTCTTAGTCATCTCTCACCTGAATACAGGAACTTCTCAACTGGCTGCCTTGCCTCCTAGCTTATCCTGCTCCAATCCTTAGTGCCAATGTGATTTTACTAAAATCGAATAGGTCTTTTCCTTCTGAAAACACTTTACTGATTTTCCCTTGTCTTTTCTCACCATGGCTGTGAGGTTTTATTATGTTCTAGCCTCTTGTCTGCATTTGTTTCCTACTCTTCCACCTCCTCCCTAGGGCAGTTTAGTATTTTAGTTTAGTGCACAGTGTGTCTTGAAAAACCACTCTGCCTCATTCCCACACTGGAGCTGGCGACCGAAGCACAGGTCCTACGTGAGGCTTGTGATGCGATGTTTGGCCTTTATTATTGGCTCTCTTCCTCTCATCTTTCTTTACCATCTTTTTGAGTTTGGGTTGCTAACCTTGAGGGAATCCTCCCTTCCCCCCAATTTATCAACAGCTATTGCCTATCTAGAGTTCTGTGAACTAGCAACCAGGTTTAGGTGAGGAAATGGGCCCTTGCTGAATTCCGGGTTGAACTTTTTTGAGGTCTGGTTGGCCCAGACTCTGTTTCAGTGAAGCACTTTGCTGAGAGTATGTGGTTCTTGCTGTGAGGCATGATGTGTTTTACGTACATGTATTACTTTTTATTTGTTCTAAGTAGGAATCAGTGCCGAGTTCAACAGAGGCCATTGCCAAAGGTCCCAAACAAGGCATTTCTCCCTAAAATAGCTTAAAATACAGTGATACCTATTGTACAGTTTATGCACTTGTAGTAAGATGTTCATGAGCAGGAATGAAGGCACTGAGTGCTGGAGTTCAGCTGAGAGGCTGTGAACTCAGCAAGGGCCTAGCCGAACTCCAGATTACTTTAAGGTAGAGCTGCTATAGATCAAACCTCTCCAACTGACCACCCCTTCAAAATATGTGCTCTCTGTTAATGCCCAGGTAACCATGCAGGTGTGCCACTCTAAATGCCCATCAGAAACAATTTGCATTTCAGCTGCAAGGAGTAGTTTGCAGACAGCCTCCACCTGTTAGTACCTTCAGGATTTGTCTCAGTGGAAGCTATGCTTATCCCTGCTGTTTTTTTTCTTTCGTTTTATTTTTTTATTTTTTTAAATATACCTTTATTGATTTCAGAGAGAGGAAGGGAGAGGGGGAGAGAGAGAGAAACATCCATTATGAGAGAGTCATTGATCGGCTGCCTCCTGCACGCCCCTGACTGGGGATCGAGCCTGCAACCCGGGCATGTGCCCTGACCGGGAATCGAACCGCAATCTCCTGGATCCTAGGTTGATGCTCAACCACTGAGCCACGCCCGGCTGGGCTTTTCTTTCATTTTAATATCCATTTCTCTCTATTCCCCCTTCACCACAGTACACCACACCCTTTTTGAGGGTGGAGCCCAAAGACTCATCCTGGTGTAATGGGAAGAACGGCTAGTCTGGACTAGTCACAGCATCCTCATTAACTAGTTTATGACTCTGGACAAGTCACTTCAAGACTTTTATGGATCTGGTCTACAGGGAGGGGCGGCTGGACTAGGAGTTGAATTGCCATGCTGAGGTCTCCGTAGGATGGGCATGCTGGTCAGTATTGTCTCATTGCTCATGTGTAGACTTTCAGCAGCTGACGCATGAATGAGGTCCTAGCAAGGACCTCAGACTTTTTTCCTTGATAGAAGTGCCACTTTCCTTTGAAACAGTCTAGCCACTCAAACAGTTTCTATGGTAACAGGTCTCTTGTTTTTCTTGTGATGCAGATTTTTGAAAAGGTTCCTCATTTGTATGCCCTTCAGGGTGTGTGATCTTCTAACCTATAGCCCCTTTATTTAAAGACTTTCCCCTAGGAACTTTGTAGACACATCTACAAGATGTGAATAAGCAGTTGCTAGTCCTACTAGCATGTGAGGTTTTAGTGTATTAATAAGGCCTCATATGAGCTGGAAGAGGAATTGTTGGATTAGTTGGTAGAACAGTAATACCAAGAAAACGAATATTCTTTGTTAGGGTCATGACATTTTATTTGACTTTTACTTTTTATTTTGTAAAAATTTCAAACATAAAATAGGCAAAATTGTATAACGGACAGCTATACACTTACTACTTAGACTCAAAATTAGCATTTTGCCATGTTGGCATGTTCTGTTCTTTTGCGGAGAGCAAATCAGAAACGTTTATTTAGAGGTGAGCTGTCACCTAGAAAGTGTTTTTCGTCTTAACCACTTCAACTATGCTTAGTAAACTTAACTATTAATTTCTTCCAATCATTTAATATCTACTCTATATTCAAACTTCCCCAGTTGTCAAATTTGTTTTTTACTCATGAGTCGTTGGAGCCAGGACCCGCTCCGTTCACTTGCATTTGACTTAGGTTTTAGTCTAGAAGAGTTCCTTGGACCTCCCTCTCCTACCCCTTACATTACACTGATTATCCGAGGCTGTCAGTTGTCCTTCAAGATGATCCACCTTTGGGGGTTGTCTGATTGTTTTCTTCTTGTTCCCATTTAACTTGCTTCTCTGTCCCTCGTATTCCTGGAAATTGGAAATTAGGTCTAAAGACTTAATTCTATTCAGGGGAAACATTTTTAGCAGGAATGCTGTTTTCTTCCTACAGTATCACAACCAGGAAACGCGAAATGTCTAGATGTTGAAGATTTAAAGACTCTATTTGGTTTGAGAAGTGATTCTTAACTGATTTCCTAGCATAGACTCCTATAGAGAAGTTCTTTTTTTTTTTAAAAAAAAGACCTTTTTATTGGTTTGAAGATTTAATGGGATTCTTTTTTCCCTTGAAACTATTCCAGTTTGTTTTCAAAAAGTAAAGGTCAAAGTAGCATTACAGTATTGAAGTTTTCCTCATATAAACCCAATAAATAGCTGATAAAACAGTATTTTGCGGGTGATGTACAGCAACTCTGGGCTCTAGCAGCCTCTGGGTACCAGGCTGCTCTTTCTATCTGCTCTCCTGGGCCCTCTCCTTCCTTAACCCCCATGTTTATAACTAATTTTACTTTGTTTTAACAAATCAGATTTCCTCTCTTCATTTCCTGTCATTGACTTTAGGCCTTGTCATTTAGTGGCTGACTGTGACCTGCAGTAACTCCAGGTTTCCTCCCTCTGGACTGTCCCCTTTTTCAGTCCATTCTTCTGGTAGGTCAGGTTCAGACTTCTGGGTGCTGGTGTGATCAGGGCTCTGATCTGGAAGTCAGAGGACCCGGGGACAAAAGCCAGCTTTTGCACTGACTAGTTGGCTCTTCCTCAGCAGAACTGAATGTTTCCAAGTAGAGCATCAGTTTCCTTGTCTGTAAAATGGGAATGATGTCTGTTTTGAGAGATCATGAACTGAAGGTAACATTTAATTTGGAAAATGCTCCAAAATAGAAGGGAATCTGATTTCTACCTGATGTTGTTTTCCCATTTCTGTATCTTATCTTAGACTGTACCTCTTTCCCTTACCTCCTCTAGAATACCCTCTCTTCCTCTCCTCTTCATCCTTAAGGCCTGGGTCAAACCTTCATCTTCAGTATCGCCACATTGTTTCTCCCAGGCCATAATTTTTCCTTTATATAAACTATTGTTTTTGTAGTTTAGGTTCTAGTCATTCTCAAAATATTTTTACACATAGGCCTCTTATTTCCTAAGATCTTAAGTTTCTTGAGGTCAGAGTTTCATGTTTGTGTCCATCTCAGGACCTCCTATGAAAACTTGATCAAGTTACCATTGAAACTGATTTCTAGTGTGTTGGCTGTAGGACCCAACTGGTTTCTTATGTGGCCTTTCTAGGATATGGATACACAATCAACCCTTGTTCATATTGGGCACATGTCAAATCTAGCATTTTGGTAGTGTTATTTGGAAATGAACTTTAACTATTGATACAAATTTCAAGGTACTACACAAAACATCCACATGAACTTTTTTCATCTTGTTTTTGAATTGTTAACAGACATCTTCTGCATAATCTAACACACAACAAGAAATGGTACACCTCTTTTCTTTCAATTTGCATGCAATGAAAAAACAAGAATATACATATTTTACAACGTTTAATAGATACTAGGTGGGCGGACAGTAAATCTACAGGTGAGAAGTTATCTAATAAAAAATAAACTGGATTTGTTTAGCCCCAGTCACTTTCATAACCAAATATTATTCTGATTAATAAGACTTGCTGCTGACCTTGCCTGTGCCCGCTGGGAGCCAGGGGTTCCCCACGCACCTGGCATTCAGTGAGATGTGCTGCAAACCCATGGAGTGGACTTGGGCGGAGGTAGGCTCCCAGGCCTGGACTGGGACTGCAGTTTCTGGCACTGCTCCTACCCACGCAGATTTATTCACATGACACAACTGCTGTAACACCTTCAGGTAACACCTCCTGCAATACCTCGACTACCCCAAGTTCATCGAATGCCACCACCAGGGCAAGTGGCAGTGCTCTGCAGTCAACAGCCAGTCTCTTCCTGATCCTTCTCTCTTTTCTACATCTCTACTGTTAAGAGACACGGGCCAGGAAACATCTATACCTCTCCGTCTTCTAGACCCAATCCAAGTGGTCTCTAGACAACCAGTGTGACAAGGGAAAAACAAAGCAGGTCTTCAGTGAAGCTGCCAATTCCATGCCTAATTTTATTGGCACAGAAAATGTTGAGGTTTGAGGATCCCAGGTTTGATTGGTTTGAAGAGCATGTGCAGGGTTTGACTAGATGATGAACTGTCAGAATCAAATCTGCTGGAGTTGCATGTCCGAGATGAAGAGAGACACCCCCCGCATTAGTTCAGAGATTTTTAAAATTTTTAATGTGGCTTAAGAAGTATGGACACAAAAACTCTACCTTGACAATGAATACATTTTATCTTGTCTAGAGATTAAGGATGAGATTGAACAGTCATTAAAGTGATAAGGCCTTACCCAGCCGGTGTGGCTCAGTGATTGAGCATCGACCTAGGATCCAGGAGATAGAGGTTTGATTCCCGGTCAGGGCACATGCCCAGGTTGCGGGCTCAATCCCCAGTAGGGGGCGTGCAGGAGGCAGCCGATCAATGACTCTCTCATCATTGATGTTTCTGTCTCTCTCCCTTCCCTTCCTCTCTTTGAAATCAATAAAAAATATATTAAAAGAAAAAAACCTTGTTTTAAAAATAAAGTTATAAGGCCATAAACCAGGTAATGCAAAAAGCTTCCATGGTTCTGTTTACCTGTGTGTTTCCAGGTGTTCCTGTAAACCCTCAGTGTATGGTTTCACAATACTGTACCAATTTAATGCCCATGTAACTCTAGATAAAGTTTTACACTGTTAAGCTATCACTGTTCTCTTGGGAACTGTACTCTTTCCTCTGAGGCTCTGGCTTTGACATTGAATTTGACTTTTTGTGTAGTAATTGATATGTGTCGGGGCAATAAGGGATTGGAATCTCCCCAAAATCCAAGCCTAATGACTAAATTTTGCTTATGTACTTGCCACCTATTCCTATTCAACAAGAGCGCCAGATCATTTAGCTAAACTAATTCCAAAGAGTAGAGGTACACTGACCTCAACTAATTTCAAAATATGTTTTATTTCTGCATATGCTAAATACTTTTTACAATTTAAAAAGTGATCTGTTTTGAAGATGAATTGACGAATCTTTTTTTAAAAAAATATATCTTTATTGATTTCAGAGAGAGGAAAGGAGAGGGAGAGAGAGAGACAGAAACATCAATGATGAGAGAGAGTCATTGATCGAGCCCACAACCCGGGCATGTGCCCTGACTGGGAATCGAACCCTGATCGCCTGAATCCTAGGTCAACGCTCAACCGCTGAGCCACACCCGGCCGGGCTAAATTGACGAATCTTAAAATCGAAAAGGCAAATATGTGAAGGAGCCAAAACTGTAAATCAGGTACTTGGGAAGTGAAGGCTGGAAGCTGACCTACATTAAATTCAGAAAACCGTTTACATTCTTTCTGTACATACTTTATTAGTTTTTTTTACATGTTTATTGATTTTAGAGATAGGGAGGAGGAAAGGGAGAGAGGGAGAGAGAGAAACATCAATTGGCTGCCTCTGTGGAATGTTTGGGTTCTTGCTTATTTTGGCCAAGTTTTATCAATGTTGGCTTTCTCTTAAATGCAAAAAGGTGTGAGTGTTGGAAGTGATAAGAGGTAAACCCTCATGATGGAAATGAAAGCAGAGAGAGTGCTTTTTTCCTCTTTCAATTCGTTTTAACATTGCTATTGCTCTTACTCATAGGACAAATTTTTCCAAATGGGAGGTAGAAAGTAAAAAGTTTTAACGCAGCCCCCAGGGCAGAAGCCTTTGTTTTATTTGCCCCCTGTGATTTAGGGAGGTTTCTGAAGGAGCTGACAGCATTGCATGAAGCAGTCTGTCTTTCCTGTGACACCCTCCTCTAGCCCCAGTCCTGTGCAGAGGTAACCCCAGTTTCTTGCCTTTTTTGTGTGTGTGTGGAAACAAAACACCAGCATGTGTATGAACACCTCAATTAAAATTTTTTATTAATGAAATATCTCAAATATGCAAGAAAAAGTATAAAGAACTAGTTTAATCAGCATTCATCCAGTTTTAACAAATCTTAATATTTTGCTATAATGAATTGCTTTAAAAAAATACAGATCCTGTTACCCTCCATCCGCAGAGTTAACCGCTATCCTGAATTTGATCTCTAGCTCTCATGCCTATTTTAATATTTTTATTTTATGTGTATGTCCTTAAACAATATATAGTATTGTTTCCACTTCATTTAAATGGGTCACATTGTTACTGCTTCTGTCTGATACTTGCTCTTTTCACTGGACATTGTTTCAGGAAATTATAAATGCAGCTCGGATTCACTCACTTTCACTGCTGGCTCATATTTTATTGTATGACTCTACCCAAACTATGTAATCATTTTTCTGACGCACATTTAAAGTCCTAATATTTGCTCTTATCAATAAGGCTGCAATGAGAATTCTTATATTCCCTTGGGCACTTGAGTTTCTCTGGAGTCCCTTCTTTAAATCTATTTTAAGGAAGTAATCACAGGGTAAAGACTGACATATTAATTAGATAAAATGGAAGATCTATGTTTAACTCGGGCTCTGTGCATGGCATATAGGATACTGTGGAAACTCCAAGGCCTTAAGCTACAATGCTTACTTCCAAGGTTGGGAGAAATTAGCAACAAGTTCTGCATGCTGGTAGGTCCAGCTATAGTGTTGGGAGGGTTTGGAGCCAGGGATTCAGACCTTTCTCCACTAAATCAGGGTGAGCTGGCTGATTTTTAATGTTTATTAGCACCTTGAGTTGGTTTAATTCTAGCCAAGAGCAAAGAGGCTTGATGCCTTTTTAGGTCTTGCTTTCTGTGTCTTATGTTCTCCTAATTCTAATACCAGCACGCAGACCCTGTTCTCTTTCCTACCCCTTAGGATGGATGCCCGGTCAGTGTTCCAAATCTTCCGTTGTCTTTTAACACTGTCTTCCCAGAAGGAGCATCAGGTGTAAAACTCTAGCTCCCTTCTAATTTTTGGTGCTCACCAAACACCCTAGATAGTGTTAATTCCTATTTACCACACATTCAAAAGGAAGCTCCATGAGATGAAATTTCCATTTTGTGGGGAATATCCCAGGAGTTTCCTTTTACCTTCCCCCTCCCCAACAGAAACCTGATTCTTAATGTATATTGTGTTTGAGTAGGAGCATTTTGAAGGTGTGAAGATTCTGAGTAGCAGTACAAGCCATGAAATATGTCAAAATGGGGTCTCTCAAAGTGTGGCTTCTAGACCAGGAGCATTAGCATCTTCTGAGAACTTGTTAGAAATGCAAATTCTCTTGCCCACCCAGACCTAAATCAGATGCTCTGGGTTTGGTCCAGCGATTTGTGCTGTAACAAGCCCACTGGAGGAGTCCGAGGACCCATGCTGCAGAGGGGGCTTAAGGGTTCGCTCCCCGGTTGGGGCTTGTATAGAAGGCGACTGACCCAATGTTTCTCTCACACATCACTCTCTCTCTCTCCCCCTTCCTCTCTCTAAAATCAATTTTGAAAGGGTGCTTAAATAGGTAGTGGGGTCATACACTGTGGCCTGCCTTGCTGTTCTTTCAGGAAGGGACTAACTAAATACTTGAGAGATGGCTGCCCAGCAGGGTTATTTGCTGTCATTAATGACATGAGAAATATAAACGTACTTCTGTGCTTTGTGCGTATGTGTGTGTGGCATTGTTATAGACAAACCTTTAACCCTTGGAGGCTACTTTGTTTCCTTTACTGGTTATAACCTACAGCACAAAATAGAATGCCATAAATCCTTGTTTCCAGGGTTACCTTGCTGCTGATAACAGACAGGAAATTAAACAATCTGTGATAGTGTTTTGTTCTTATTAGTCACAGATGGTAGCTTTTGGATATGTTGAAGCAAAACATAAATAAATATAGCAGGGGAACTTTATTATTGTTGAAGAAAAATGATTTGGCCCGGTCAGCTTTATAGTCTAGCTTCATTTTAATGAAATGGGATCTAGGCAATGCTAGTGTCCTATTATCACACAAAGCAGGACGTATGAGGGTCACTAGTTTTGTTCTTTTTGATTTAATTTTGAGTTTGTAAAACATTTACGTAATTTCAAAGTCAAAACTATAACAAATTATATTCAAAGATGTCTCATTTCCATCCATATCTCTTCTTCTGTTAGTCCTTTATCGGTAATCATTTTTATTTGCTTTCTGATTTATTCTTTTAGTGTTTATTTTTGAAGATAACCATATGTATGTGTCTATGTTCATATCCTTCCTCTTTCCACTTTCTTTACACAAAATTTTCCATATTATACTACAGTTGTTTGTTTTCAAATTATTTTTAAAAGTTAGCTCTATTGCCCTGGCTGGTGTGGCTCGGTTGAGCGTCATGCTGGACACCGAAAGGTCACTGGTTCGATTCCTAGTCAGGGCATATGCCCCAGTTGCGGGTTTTGTCCCTGGTTGGGCTGCATGCAGGAGGCAACCGATCGATATTTCTCTCTCACATCAGTGTTTCTCTCTCTCTAAAATCAATTAAAAATGTTTTTTAAAAAGTACGGAAGAATATGCAATAACATGAATTTTTTAAAAAGTTAGTTCTATTAAGGTATAATTTAAATTCAATAAAACTCACCAACTTTATGTGTGCAATTTGTGTTTTGACAAATACATACAGTTGTATAGCCACCAGTGTGGTGAAGATGTATAGATTGTTTCCATCACCCAAAAATTTCTTTTTACTCTTTTGTAGCCAGTCCTCTGTCCCACCTTTCTGGGCCCTGGTAAACCACCTGTCTGCTTTCCCAGAGTCTCATGCCCAGTTTGTGTGTGTGTGTGTGTGTGGCTCCTTTCGCTTGGTTGGTGAGTCAGCCACATTATTAGTACATGTACTGGTAGTTATTCTGAGTAGTGTTCCATTGTTTATACATTCTAGTTGATAAATATTGCCCTTTTTTTAGTTTTTATTCTGAAATAATTTTATTTTTAATTATTTTGGTTTTTTTGGAGGGGGGTGCGGTGAAGAAGGAGACTTTATTCAGTGAAAAACAGCTCAATTTTGATACAGCACAGCTATGGAAACAGCACAGCTGTAGCACGGCCCTGGGGCGAGGCCTCTCCGGTTAGACAGCTCTGCCCAGCTCCTCAGTGGTCTGCTCTGCCCTGCTGCACTCCTCGATGAAATAATTTTACACTTAGAGAAGAATAACAAAGATAGTACAGAGAGTTTCTGTATACCCTTTCCCAGCTTCCTCTAGTGCTATCAACACTTAAGAAATTAATATTGGTGCAAATACTATGGCCTAAACTACAGAGTGTATTAGGATATTAGGTTTTTCATTGCATTTAGGGGCGTGGTGTTTGTCTGTGTGTGTCTAAACCCCACCTGTTCACTGCTGTTAACAACACTAATGACTTTTTTTTTCTTTTTAATCCGTACCCTAAGATATTTTTTCCATTGCTTTTCAGAGAGAGTGGAAGGGGGAGAGAGAGAGAGAGGGAGAGGGAGAGAGAGAGAGAAATATTGGTGTGAGAGAGACACATCGATTGGTTGCCTCCTGCTTGCACACCAACCAGGGCTGGGGATTGAACCTGCAACTGAGGTATGTGCCCTTGGCTGGAATTGAACCCGGGACCCTTCAGTCCAAGGGCTGAGGCTCTAACCACTGAGGAAAACTGGCTACGGCTACATTAATGACTTTTCTACTACACAGTCAAATGTATCTGAATAGCCTGACTCCGGGGATGCTAACTGTGGTTAAATGAAGACTCATTATCTGCGAGCCTCTATTCTGGTGGCGGGGGAACCACGGAAGGTCGGGCTGTGTGGGCGGACGGTTGCGAGTCTTCCCAGTGACTCACCCCGCAGCCGGCCTCTGGGGGAAGCAGCTGTAGGCGACTGTAAAGCTCCACTCAGCTCCTCTCTTCTCTGTCCCATCGCACGATGCAGACTGGGCATCTCCAAGTCCTTGAAATCACATAGCTAGGTGTCTCGAATGTACCTAGTTTCCCAAGCTATGCAGACAGCAGTGCGGTTTTTAAAAAGGAAGCTTTTTTGTTTTTGTTTCTATGTGTCTGTAGTAGGTCTGGCCGTATGTGCCAGAGTCATAGGTTAAACAAAACACTGCTCATCCCCCAGAGCCAACCTCGGCAGGCATACACCTAAAAGCTGCAGCATTTATTCTCTTAGGAAGGGAGGGAGGAAGGCAGCTATTTAGAATAAGCCTGATGCTTGCATACGATAACCAGAAGTTTTATGAGTAGATCATTATTTGAGGGATTAATGACAGGTGAAGTTTATAGGTGTCTGGATCTGGCCTCAGATGTAGAAAGCTAAGGATTATTATTTTTCTCTCAGATACGGTTTTCTACACACCCATTATAGAGAGAGTCTTAGGTAGAGGAAAATGTAAGGAGGAAAGTGAAAGCATCCTATACTTATCACCAGAAATAGCCACTCTTGTTTTGCGTAATTTCTCCTTCCCCTCCCTCTCTCATGCTGCAAATATATTTGTAATCTGCATTTTTTATGTAATACTATATCATAAGGATTTTTTCCATTGTTTAAATAAAAAGACTACTAATTAATAGCAGAAAAAAAAACTAGTTTTAACTTGCATTCCCTTAATATTTTTTAGTTAGGATTAATATGATTGTCACTTTATTTACCCGTAGAGATTGTTAGTTTTTCTCCTCTGTATCTTTTCGTGAAGTTGGAAATGTTACTAAAGCAAGCCTCTGATTTCAGATGTCCTAAACGATGCAATATTTGATGAAGATCATGATGAGATGGTGATTGTGAAGGACATAGATATGTTTTCCATGTGTGAACATCACCTAGTACCATTTATTGGAAAGGTAAGGTTTTCTCCGTTGTTTCCTAACAGTTTTATAAAGCACAATGAAAGTTTTAAAATTAGAATAATTATATTTAAAATTGTCACCTAACCCCAAGTATTTCAGATATTTAGAATTACATATAAACCTTTACTCTTCACCAACCTGACTAATCTAATAGCTTGAAATTAACAAAATAAAAGCAAAGTAGCTGAAGGCCCTCAGGGAAAGGACTTCATTGCAAATGCCACTTTAATAGGGTTAAAGTAATGAGATTAAAGTCTCTTTTTTTCCTAGGTGGCTGCTGCAGGCTCTGAAAACCTTGATCCTTTATTTTGACTAAATAATGTTTGACCAAGATAGACTTTGAAAATTTTTTTTACTTATTTATTTTTAGAGAGAGAGAGAGAAACATTGATTTGCTCCACTTATTGGTTGATTCTTGTATGTGCCCTGACCTGGGTTCAAACCCACAGCCTTGGTGTATCGGGATGGTTCTTAATCAACTGAGCTACCTCGACAAGATAGACTTTTGTATAATATGACATGAGCTGTAATGATTGCAGAATTCCTTGCAGCAGAGGTTACAGTATTAGTGGATTTAATTTGTTTCCAACCCTTCCCGTGTTAGGAAAAAGACATCTAATGAGAACTAGATAATGTCATCCAGCTTGTAGTTAAACATCCCTTTGAGAATATGTGGGTTTAGGACCTAGAGTTGGCCATTGTCTTCCCCTCCCCACATCATAATTTGATTTGATTTTGATTTTTTATTAATTTTCAAACAGGAGATTTAGAGGAAATGGTACTGTGAATACCGATGTGCCCATCACCTAAATTTAACATTTTGTTAAAGTATTTTATATTGCTATTTTTAATAGAAGCAAAACATAGGAAAATGCACAGACCGTGCGGGTGTTCCTACCGCCTCCGATCGAGAGCTAGAGCGTCGGGGTGCCGGGGAAGCTCGCCTCGCTTGCTGCCCTTTCTGTTTCCTGACCCCCCTCGTCCGCACATGCAGATTAGCTTTGCTTGTCTTTCAACTACGGTCATGTGCTGCACAAGGACTTTTTGGTTAATTGAGGGTCCCATAAGATTATAACCTTCTCTGGAAATTCTTACCGATGCAGAAGAAAAGAACTTAACTCTGCTTTCCCCTTAGCCTGGTCACCGCGCTTTTCCTGGTAACCGCCCGCAGCCGACTCCCCTGCCCCTGACACCTCCCGTCTTTAGCTGAAGCTGGTGTTTAAGGCGGTGGCTGTGGCCGTTCTGCCGAGTTACTCGGCTTCCCGGGGTGTCTCTCATGTGTACAGGAGGTACACATGTTACTAAAATTTATTTTTCTCCTGTTAATCTGTCTTTTATCACGTGGATGTCTCAGCCAAGAACCCAGAAGGACAGGAGGAAACATACTTTTCCTCCCCTACCGAGCAGTAGGCTGTGGCACGTAGCCGAGGTGTCAGGGGGCTGTGCCGTCCAGGTGTGTGTAAGCGCCCTCTGCGGTGCCCACAGGCCAGCATCGCCTAAGGACGCAGATCTCAGAACGTCACTCTGGCAAGCGGCACATGACTCTGTGTAAACAGAAAGAAGCTACAGCATGTACTCTGTGTCTGGCTTCGTTTGCTCCACATTGTAATAGTCATTGACGTTATTGCCTATTGTACTTTGTTTACTTTCNTGCCCAAGGTCAAATAGTGGACCACTTTCAGAGCTAACTACATATTGAGGATATTGCACGTAAAGAGTAACTAGGACCTGTGAAAAACCCCAATACATTAGGGACTGTAGAACCAAATTTTATGTTGTTTATAGTGTCAAACTACAAATAAAATATACTCATTGGGTCCTATGGCATTTCTGAAGTATATTTTTTTCTTTCTGTGAAGATACTGCTTTCTCTCTGAAAGGCTCTTAAATAAGAAATCAGCCATGTCAGGTGATACAAACACTGGCCAGCAGATCAGTGTATTCTTTGGGGGGGGGTGTGTGTGTGTGTGTGTGTGTGTGTTCGCCTCCAGATTTTTGTTTGTTTGGTTAGAAATAAATGATAAAGATTTATTCAAGTCTGGCCAGGAGGTCATGGTTCAATTCCTGGTCAGGGCACATGCCTGGGTTGGGGGCTCAATCCCCAGTAGGGGGCGTGCAGGAGGCAACCGATGGATGTTTCTCTCTCATGGATGTTTCTATCTCTCTATCTGTCTCCCTCTGTTGGCAACCAATAAAAAAATATATTTTTTAAAAAAGGTTTATTCACAGGTCTTAGGAAAGAATTCAGAGCCAAGACCCCAACTACAGGAGAACATTTTTTTGGTAAATCACAGAGGTAGAAGAAGCAATTTCTAGAAGAAACAGGCTTAGGAAACAAGTTATAGAGGCAAAGGAAGAGCCTTTGGAGCTTGGGAGCAAGGAAGCTAATGCTAATGCTAACCCTGGGGAGGGCGGGGAAGGGAAGGAGAAGGCAAGGGAATGCTCCCAGAGGGAGAGCACTGGGTCCTCCATCCTGATGGTTTTAAGCGTTGAGATCTTAGGGGAGGGCCCAGGGCAAAGATCTTAATAGAATATTCAGCAGTTTTCCAGGTGTGTCCTTTCAGGGTCGTGGTCCCCACTGATTGATTAGCTGGCGCCAGGGCAGGGGGCCATCCTACACAGCTGGTCCTGAGGTCAGTCTTGGGTGATTTTTGTCGCTCTTTTGGGCCAGGAAATACCATGACTATACTTCCAATTTGTTGTTTTATTAATAGAGTCATTCCTATATATTTTCCTTTTACTGTATTTATATAATTTTTTAAGTGCTTATATAAGTGCTTCGTTTTTAAAATCTTAAGTCTTCTAGATGTCTTAAAGATGCATTTTCATTGTGTTGAATTACATAAAAGTATTCTGTTATGTTTCCCTATTTCCTTGTTTTGTCACAAGGAAGCACTGTCCTGTCACTTAGCTCATCATTTCTGTCTCTTCTCTGAAGGTCCACATCGGTTACCTTCCTAACAAGCAAGTCCTTGGCCTCAGCAAACTTGCGAGGTAAGTGTGACTGGGCGGTGAGTAGGAAAACAGGTTTATAGGACCTGGTCCTGCACAGTAGGAGTCTCCTCAGGCTGGCTTTCTTGACCAGTGTGGATCTAGTGTGGACGTCGCATTGCAACTTAAAACTTACAGCTGCAGAGAAAGACTTAGAGGACTTAGAGAGGACCTGAAGTACAAATGCCCTTTCCTTCACTCCCCCGTTGCCTACCCTCCACCCCGTCTCCTAGCTTTTCAACCACTGGCACATCCTTGAAGTCCTGGCTCTCACTTTTCTCTGTAGAGCCTGCCCTGGCTGGAGAGGGCCTGAGCTCCTGTCCTCTAAGGGTGGTTTAGCTAACTAACAGTGAGAGGTGGGAGAGGAAACCTGGGCAGGGGTCTAATAGCGCTGCATGGTTTTCAGACTTTTAATCAAACTACCACTGTTGGGGTCTCAACCCTGCCTTCTGCCATGGGTACCTCCAGGCATCTCTCTGGGATCCTGCAGGGCCAGTCGGTTCACCTCTGGGTTTTTTTGTGGGGTTTTTTGCCTCTGCAGACATAAGTCTCTGCTTTCTTTGGTTTTCTCAACTCTCCTCCAAGATAATGCTTACTCTCCTCTCTCCTATTTCTCTCCTCTCTGCTACAGTCTTCTTTTCTGTTCTTTATGCTGTATTTTTATTCCTCTAAAAAAATTTCCTTTGCTATCGTTTTATTTGGCTTTGAGAAAGGAGGGTATGGTAATCTACGTTTAACTGACAGTCACCTCGAGGGTCAGCGTTCATATATCTCGGATAGGCCCAGCCACCAATATTTTAATGCCCCCTTTTGTAATTTCTTTGGATTGTTATATGAAATAATACAAAGGAGTCTATAGAATTAGTGAGTCCTGGGGAAATCCTGGGAGATGTGTGTGTGTATCTGTTTTGAGAGAGTTAAGAACAAGATGAAGAAATAGGTAATGAATATACAGCCAAGTCTTTCCCCCACACACACTTTTTACAATAAACCAAGCTAAATTTTAATGACATGATTGAGATTATAGTGACCGTATCAAAACTGGAGTAAATGAATCTTCATAATCAACTGACTATTCTGTAGCTCTGTGGTTTCTGCTTCTCAACCTCAACTCTGGTGATTGCCATAGTCCTGAAATGGTCTAGATCTTTTTCAGTTCCTTGTCGGAATCTGTGAAAACCACCCAGCAGTCTGACAGCTCCCCTCTATCGCTGTTCTTTTTACTTTCTTTCCACTCATTTCCCCTAGGGATTGAGGAGAAAGTAAGTAGAAGAGAAAAATTTAACTACCCTAGTGTCCGACTATATTTCTGGTTAGTAATCTTGCCACTGGACAGAGCTCCTTGGCCCCATGAAAGGACCTTATTATCTCAGCTGTAATTGCTTTGCTGCAATAAGACTCTTAACACAAATCCAGAAACACCTTGCCAGCTTTCGGTGACCTGTACCCAGGGGCAGTGCCAAGGGGTGACTGAGAAGGACATTGGTGGGGAGGGGTAATGACCCCACTGTAATTTCTATTGCCAACCCTACATGTTCCCCATGCAGGTGTCCTGGCACTGCCGATGCCCGGCCAGACTGTCCCTATGTGAAAGGTGTGCAGTGGGTACTTTTCAAATCATAAAACAGCTTGGCAGACTCCACAGGCCTTGGTCTGAGCACCTTCTCTAGAAGACACACATGGGTGACGCGTTAGGGAAGTGGGTTCTAGAGGGATCCAGTGAGATCTTGGAATAAGTGGTAACTTGGGGGTAGAAGGAATAATCTTTGGCTATTTCCTTTCCTAGTGAAAGGAGAAGATCTCAGATAATTAAGCTTTTATGAAACAATACAAAGGAGTTGATTGTTAGCCTGGAGACTGGACCTTAAACTAATAGGGTTAGAATTTAATGGGGGGGAAAAAGGAACACTAAACCAAAGAACCGAGTGTATGCTACTTTCAGATATGTTGTAAAAAAATTGTCTATGAAACAGAAGAGAAGGCTAAGATTTAATCCAAATGTTGACCCCTGCTCCTTGTAAGAGGTAGGAGTATTTAGGGGAAAGACAAGTAATAAAGCAAAACGCCACTGTTCACTTGGACCTTGTATGTGAATTTGTTTTGTTGTATGCTTGCCTTTAAACGAATGACCTTTCAGTGCCACGGAAGTCAAATATCAAATAGTAAAGCCTTAAGTAACAAGAAAATGCCAGAAGTGAGTTGATCGGGTTTAACTCTAGTAGAATTCTAGAGTAAACTTAGTTTGAATAGAAATTCCTTTTGCTGCTGAAAATCCATTGAACATGTATTAGTGGTCTTGCCTTAGAATAACTGAGAGGACATAATTCTTGAATTTCGAATCGCAGTGCCTCGTGGTAGCCATGGCTAGTCTATTTATTGAGCACCTATAGTGCAAGGACACTGTGCCAGAGCGAGGTGAGGACAGAGCCTCTGCCCTCCAGGAGGGCGAGAGTGTGAGGCAGCAGGTGCCACGGAAATGCCAAGGTGGCTGTGGCCTGGGAGGGTGGAAGAGGCCCAGAGGCGGAGGGCTGAGCAGAGCTCTAAATGGAAGAGAAGCTCCTCCAGGTATAGTTAATGCATAAGCAAAGGCAAATAAGAGGGGAGGAGCCAGGCCTATGCCAGTGGATAGGAAGCAGATTTGATTGATAGAAATAAGAGATTTAGGCGGGGGTGAAAGGGGGAGGGAGTTAAAAAGGCAGAGTAAGCATTAGATTACAAAGTGAACATTTTTTCTTTCTCAGTTACAAAAGTAACAAACATACTAGTTAAATTAAAATACAAATGAGTGAGTAAAAGGGAAGTTTTTCTTTCCTATTTTCATTTCCCAGAGTAGAAACTAGATATTTTTTTTTCACTATCCTTCTGGAAAATTTCTATGAACACACAAACATAAACACAAAGCTCTTTAAAATTAGCAAAATAAAACAAAGCCAAAAAAAAGTGGAGGAGACCATACCCTACATTCGTACAACAGCTTAAAAAAAATAATGTACCTTGAAATCTCTTACACACCTTTTAGTCCAAAAAATCCAAGTTCCATGGTATTTCTTAGACTGATTAATAGAATTCATTGAACCAGTCTTTGATATAGGTAAATATAGACTACAGTTTGAGGCTACTGTTAATAAAAAATGCTTTGGTGAACATATTTTTATACATTTGTATACTTTGAGCATACCTGTAAGATAAACTACTGGAGTAAAATTTACTGGGTTAAGGGAGCTGAATTTTCCATGTTGCTAAATTACTCTCCAAAAAAAAAGATTATACCAATTTATACTCTAATAATAAAGAGTGTGTCTGCACACTTTTGCCAACACTGGGTTTCATCACACTTTTCAATCTTTACCAAGCTGGTAAGTGGGAAATGATACCTGTTGTCTTAATTTGCATTTCTTTAATAGAATAAGGTTTAATCTTCTCAGAAACTTGCTGCACTTGGCCTTGCTGATTTCCCCGTTGGGTTGCTTGCCGTTGAGCTCCCTGAATGGTGAAGCAGTGAGGTCAGGGGCTGCCAATAATTTCTCCGGGCTTCTCATTTGTCTCCTGATTTTGTTTTACAGTATTATTTTTCCATAAAGAAGTTAAAAACTTTCATGTAGTCAAAAAGTCGTGTTTCCTGGGTTACTTTTATATTTAAATCTTTGTTCCACCTGGAATGCATTTGGGGGCAAGGAGTGAGGGGGAACCCACTCATTCCTGTTGCGTGCTCCCCGACCTGCCACACCCTGCTCCCCTCCCGTTACTCTGCTGCCTTCTTGCTCTTTGCTGCGACTCCCTGTTGGGCTTTCTTATGTTCCTTCTAGATTATACGTTAAACTCCTAACTCCTCTTTGACTCGAATCTCTTAGGGTCCTTAAATTTGCTCTCATATGCTGCTAGGGTGTTCTTTCTAAAGATGCTGCTGCTCTTTCATAGCTCCCCATAGCTTTAAACATAAAGTTCAAACTCCCCGCGTTAGCCGCGATCCAGCTCCTTTTCCCGCTGCACGTTTGCTTTCTGCTCTAGCCATGCCTGAGGATTTGCAGCCTGGTGTCAAGCCAAGCTTGTCAAGTCAAGTTATATCATAAAAGCAGCCACAGAGAAAAATATTACCTACAAGGTAACAGCAATTAGACTGACAATTGGTTTGCCAGTGGCAGTATGGAAAGGCCAGTAAATGTCAGTGTCAACCTAGAATTCTGTTCCCAACAAATACTTCCCAACAAATTATCTTCAAGAATGAGTACAAAAATGTACAAATTTTTTAATTCAGGGAAGCTATATGATTTTTCTTACTGCTGAGAAGACAGAAATTCGCCTACTTTTTACTTGAAAAGAAAAATAGATAAACTGGGAATAAGAAATCATAAACTCTGAGCATGGGGATCCTGCTCACCACATAATTATTATGTAGTGGGCACTCAGCGATACGCATGAAGGACTCCTTTGGCATGAGAGCGGCTGTCTACCAGAAACAGGCAGCACTGGTGAGAGTAAAGCGTTACAGGCATTCCTGTTAAAGCGTGGAGCAAAATATGGATGCCCAACATCACCACCGTTATCTAATGTTGTACCTGAAATTTTACTTGAGAAAAAGAAATGAGAACTATGAGAAGGAAGATCACCTGGAAAACGATCAGAAGTAATAGATATAGAAACTTGACCCAGGAAGAATAAGACATATTTTCTATCTAGGAGCTGAACCATCCTTTCTCAGGTTTTTGTTCAAAATAAAATATATATATTGGAATTCCTTCAGTGTTGTTAACCTGCTGGGGACACAGAAGAATCAGAGTGGCTCCTGCCTTCAGGTTGAGTGGTGAATGGGGCGGCCTACCATTTACTGACTTAATTGGCTATACCAGGTTAAAGGAGCAAGTTGTCAGTTCTATCTGAGACTCATATGGGTGGG